TTTTTCCCTTTCTCAGAAGGTCTATCTCCCTATTTTCCCCCCACCACCCTTTTCCCAGTCAACTCATAGGTATTGTATTGTTGTATGGAATGTAGCGATCTTGTGAAGTGGATCGACTAATTGTACCCAGGGATCTTTCGAGAGACAAACCGACAGGTGAGGTAAGCATGTTTCCATTTCCATAGTAATGAGGTACTGACTCCTGAGTCTTCCGATGCATTGCGGACCTCATCGGTTCCACAATAACTTCTTGGTCACCCAAGGGACCACACAAATGGGAAAGCGAACTCAGGAGTACCACAGTACTGGTGAAATGATCACTCACACACCCGGTATGCTACTCAGACCCTGTCAGGAACTCGGCTCTTTTCCAGTGCCTATTGTTACAAGCAGGCTTCTATGTATGCATGCACATGCAATACAAGAAGCGCCACATAAGAGCTCTCTCAGATCCGGTGCAAGTGGATAAGAAAGGTCCTTCGTCATGTAGAAAGGGACTGGATTAAGTTCTGTCCGTCTCCATCGGACTTAACCCTTTGTCTGACGAGGTAAACGACGATGGCCGCCACAAGCGCGCCGCATTCGTTACTCGAATGTTCTCGGGAGGGAGTAAAGTAGTATACCAACTCATGCACTTGGGTTAATACCTAGATAGTAAAGTACTGGCCGAAACTTAAGGCAGGATTGAACTATAAGTTCCTCTAAATTAACCTTTTATGGCATGCTCTCATCTAGCCAAAAAAGAAAAGGAAAGGAAAAAAGCACATTCATCGTCACATTTTGGTACCAGCAATTAACTGGCCACTAGTCACACATACTGCAAATAAAAATAACTAATCAACGTGAGTCCTCCCAGAGTTAGGATCGATCCACATAGTTAACCAACTTTGGACAGCGAATGGGTACAGGTATGTGATAATCGGGACAACTAGTTGTACTAATCAAAGTAATAGATTTCTTTGTGGAACGAGGCCATAGAATAACCAGCAGCAGGCCAAATTCCCACGATCTCCTCGGGACCTCGTTGCACGGACGCGTCCTTTGCAACCTGTGTCCATGGTTCAAGATTACCCTCTTTTTCTTGGGTAGCAGAGTGCGCATCTGATGCACCAATACCTACCTTTTTGTGGATGCTAATAAATCCCTACATTGCATGCAGTACTAGACGTGAGGAGCCAGTTATTGTATCATATACTTTTTTTTTATACGTGCCCTTCGAGAGGTGCATCAGCGTGTCAATTGTCGGGATTTTTGGGAAGCAAGTAGGTGTGATTATAGCCGTCTTCTTTACTTTAATTCTAATTTATTTATTCCTTTTCCTTTTAATGTGCAGTCCCATTCCCCTTGTCATCCAGACAAGCCTTGGGATTATTGGGTACCGTCCAGCATGCCTGCATACATTATTAGTCTTCCAAACTAACATCACAGAATGACAGATCCAACTCAATGCGGGGCTCTAACAACGATTATTCAGTCCTTGCCGCTTTTACTTTCTTTATGTTTGAAGACACGAAACAGGGAAAAGAAGAAGAAAAATTGCCTTTCAGACGTCAAAGTTAAACTCTGATCAGACCTCGCCTCGTCCCATACATTCTGTCAATGACTATGATGTAGGTGTATGTCCTTATGTCCTATGTGAACCTATAGGGGATTTGTAGATCATAGCCGGGGGGTAAGGAGGGGAGGATTACTTAAGATAGTGCGGGCTAAACTTACGAAGGATTTCGGGCTACCAAAGAAGGTATGCCTGTCGTATTCAAGGGTGACTCGGTCAGATTGGGAAAGATGACGGTGGCGATTGAATAGTAAAGTGACAACACAGCAGTTAGCTATTGAGTTAGTGCGGATCTTTTGTGTCCATACTTGACGTTGGGGATAATTCGACATGTGATGTCATGGTCACTTCTGAAATGGTAAATTGGATTGAATGAAACCACTTGAAACCGAATGATGGATCAGCTGAGACAAGGTTCAATGGATTGTCGCAATGCAACATTCCAACGGCCATCAATAATAAGGATTGACCGTTGGGACACTTGGCCAACTTCCCATTTCAGAGTCAGGGACACCCTCCTTTCGTATCGTATGTATCGTACCGGGAATTTTCATTACCAAACTCTATAGCCTCCTTCTGTACTGTACCTAGTATATCCTGGATAATGTACATACAGCTATCTATCCGTAGGTAGGCATCAGGTCATACTGATCTGTACCTAGTTGAGAATGGCAAAACAAGTCAGCTAGTCTATGACTAACAATAGCAATACCAGATTGGTGGTGCCACTCAGGCTAGGGGGTTTGCATATACCTAGGTAGTAGTCACGGTGTTGTAAGATCTCCAGGATCTTTCCGCGTTCTATAGGCTCAGGTACTGTAAATACATACTGTACGGGGTACGTCCTCGTCCTCATAGGTACTGTAAGTACCGTACTCCCTCAGTAGTCCTGTGTATAGTACGATGCGAGCTTTGATATATCAAAAGAAATGAATGTATGTTACATTGATATTGACATGAGTACCCAACACACTCAGTTTCCTAGTGAGCAAGGATTATGCAAAATGGAATGAGGCAACTTCAGCTCTGCACGCTCAGATCCTCTTCTAGAAGCATCACGAATGTCATTTGCAGCGCTTGGCAGCTGCTCCTAGTGATCTGCGATCTTTGCACAGAATAATTCTGCTTATTCTGTATATATCAGTTTTCTGAGCTATCCCAAATCTTGTACTCAGAAGCAACATCTGTGATGTGAGAGGGACGGTGTGTTTGTTTCCCTTGATGCTGGTTGAAGTGGTATTACCGTATGTGTGTTCCTTTTTGTATCCAAAGGCATACGAACTGAGAAACTGATAATCAATCTTCTTTAACCGCAAGCTTAAACAACGTCCCTCTGTTTTCTTCGACGCTGAACCCCATTTGCATCTAGATTAAAACCTCGTCTAAGTTGGTTTTTAACTTCCCTTGTTTTCTCTCAAAAAGATAAAAAGCTTTTTCTCTTTTGATTATCCCACCCCTCGTTAATTATTTCACCTTTGGGTTTCCGCCTTGAGCGCCGACGATAATAACCGCACCATCCACCACTGCTAATCGAAACTATGGGATCCATCGTTGACGCCGAACAAGCCAGGAAATTGTCCCTTTTCCGACCTCTTGGTAAGCAGCCAGTCAGATGATACTCCCTTTCCCCGTGCAATCATTATTGGCCCTCACCCGCCCTTCTTGAACCCGGTACCCAAACCGATATTCTGTGCCCCTCAACGACACTTTTACTGCCCCTCTTCCGCGGCGATGGTTTCTTGGCCATCGTCCGTACGGTCCATCGTGATCCTTTGATCATGTCCCTCATTAGTGCCCTTCCTTACAACTAATGCATGCATGTACTCCTTTTTCTTTCATTGCCGCCGTCGTTGGATCGATCGGTGACTGTCCGCCATGACTAACGGACATGGGAACCCCACAATCCAATGCTGATCTCAACATACAGGTTACCAGCGCAACTCATGTGGCTACTGTAAATCCGACAATGGAAGTGAGTCTCTCTGGCACATGTCCCCTCCCTCCCTCTCACAATGGATGGTTCTTCGGCCATTCAGTGCATCTAAAGTCCTTCTAATATGTATCCACTGTAGGCGCATCGTACTATACTAGCTCTGTATCAGTACGCCCCGTCCATTATGAGGAACTCGTCAACCGTGGGTGGAGACGGTATGTATCTATCACTCGCTTGATGAGAGAGTACGTGGCATCCGGTCGCTAATTCCTACTCCAGATCAGGGACGCTTTACTACAAGCAGAACCTGCAGAGATCATGTTGTCCGCACTATACGATGAGGTATGTACAAGGCAACCAAGAGTAACCTACATCGGCTGTGGTGCACTAATCTATTGATCAGACTTGAGGCGACAGCCTTCAAGTCGAGGAAGGACCAACGCAAAGCAATCAATCGCTGGAACAAGTTCGTCTTGGGACCGGAATACATCAGACGGGCAGCGTATCTGTGCCCTAAAACACGGGAGTAAGTCCATCAACTATGTCCCGAAAGTGAGAACGGGGATAATCTCATATGTTTTCAGAGAAAAGAAGCACCGGAAGTGCAATTTCGATCTGCTCACGGCGGTTCACGAAGCTGAATACAGCAATGTAAAGCGGCCCATTGATCCCAAGACCAAGAAGTACTTGGAACCTGCTCATCGATTTGAGGTCAACATAGAAGGGGACTCTGTGTCTCAGGCAAAGTGAGTGTAACCCAATTTTAGACCATATCACTCCTACTAATAACTCAAGATACGAGCTCTTCCTCAAATACCAGACCAAGGTCCACAAAGAAGACGTCTCCACGTGGCAGCAGAAGGACTTCAAACGGTTCCTCTGCTCGGGCCTAAAGCGTTCCCCGGCTGATCCCAAGTCTACTGAGAAGAAACTAGGATCATGGCATCAGTGCTACCGCCTGGATGGGAAGCTCATAGCCGTTGCGGTCCTGGACTTGATGCCGAGTGGTGTGAGCTCCGTATATATCTTGTAAGTTTCGTTTACTCCAGGGGTCATTCGAGCAACGACTGACAGCCAAAGCTATGATCCCGACTACGAACAGTGGGAATTCGGGAAACTAAGCGCCCTAAGGGAAATTGCCCTCTCTATTGAAGGTAGCTACCAGTATTACTACATGGGTAAGACATCCTATGCCTCGATCTATGACCTATGGCATAGGCCATCGCTGACAACCCTTATACAGGCTATTATATCCACTCCTGCCAGAAAATGCGTTACAAGGGATCGTTCAGGCCACAGTACATCCTCGGTAAGGCCACCACCAGTTTCAACAAACGAAACAGTCATATTGACATATACAGATCCTGAAAGCCACACATGGGATCCACTTGAAGGCGAACTGGCAAAGAAGCTAGACGAACGTCCATACGTATCGCTCTCGCGTGACCGCCAGATTGTCGCCGAAAGCACACAAGAGTCCGCTGGGACAGAGGCCGACGCCGAAATCAATGATGATGAGGTATCTCTGTTTGACCTACGCATGCCTGGCGTCCTGTCTCTGGAGGAAGTAAGGGCTTTGGATTTGGACCACTGGCTACTCCTCGTCCATGGTAGTTTTGTGCATATGATTGTAAGTACATCTCTCAGTGTGCTTTTATCCACTGTCGACCTCATACTGACATGTGCCGCCGCAGGATCTCGTGGGATGGGAGACGATGCCTATGGATAATCCCCAGTCAGTTAAAGGGATAATTGCTGAACTTGCCGCGGTGTTGGGTCCGAAAACTGTTAAGGAGAGTGCCGTCGTACTATTTGACTAATAGCGTCTTTAGAATTCACTCTTATCTATCCATATAGGAAAGGTTCCATAGGGAAAATATGTGCAAGAAAACATGTAATTCAACCTATATATGGCAAAAACGTATATGTAAATTATTGCAGTAGAAGCAAGCCAACTCCGTATATGTCATGATCACAGTGTCCTCCAAAACGCCCCGCCAATGATTTAATAAAGCACAAGAGATAAACCATCAACGCATCCCGGATAAAAACATATAAACCCATGCAAGTATGCAAAGATGGTAGAACAAGCCAAACGCACACGCTAAAGCACATCCCAAAACCGTATCCATGAATGTTATAACGACCACGTATCAAATCCCGTGCATTCAACACATCAATTCAACAGGAGGACGAGACGTCTTCGGCGGGGCCTTCCGAGTCGGCATCTCAATGGGACTCATCTCCATCTCCAAATCGTCCACCATGATGCTCGTATCTTCGACCATAACAGCAGGCAGGTTAGGACTTCCGCCGTGGTCCTCAGGGTGGTAGATAAGGGTGCTGCTTCTGCTGCGCTGTCCGGACATAGAGACGGGCCAGCTCCCCGAGCGCTTATCGGAGGTCATGGACATCGGGGTACCGGGTTCACAGGTCTGGTTGATACCCTCGTAGACACCGGATTGCTCGGTCTTCAACTTGGCCAAGGCGGTGGCGAGATCACTGGCGTGCACCTCCTTGTTCGGGGGTTCCTCATTGCGCATGACCCATCCGTGAGGGGGGCTGGGTGGCGGGCTGATGAAGAAGAGCTTGTCGGCATGGGGGGCCTCAAGGAGCTTTGGGCGGCGGGACTCCTCCTCATCCAGGATTGGAGTGGGTTCGCCAAAGTAAACTCTCGGGCGGACGTTGTGCTCGAGTACTTCTCCGTCGAGGAGTTTCCGGACACGCAGGGCGTCTTCTTCTGTGTAGAAAGAGCAGATGAGGCGGCGGAGAGAGGGGAGTGGAGAGAATGAGTTCAGGGCCGCGATGGATTCGATTTGTGCGCGGAATGTGGCGAGGGAGGTGGGTTGGAAGAGGAGGATGTTGCTAAGTTCGGTGATGATGAGGGTGTTTGTTGGCTTGGTTGGTTGAGACATTGTTGGAAGATTAGAGAGATCGAGCGTGAGGGCTGGTCGGGATGATGCTGAAGATGTGCTAAGTCCAGGCATTTTTTTTATATTTCAACGTTTGGGTTGAGATTAGAGAGAGAATGGCGTATGTCTTGCGAGGTAGATTTGAAGTAGAGAGGAAGAGATGCAACGGAGAGAGTTTAAGGTGGCGGGACAATCAATGATTATTGATAAAGGTCACGAGATAAGGCAAGACCGCTTTCACTTTTGGGAGTTTCAACAGGAACAATCAAGAGTCGTTCTTTGCTATACAATCGATCACCTTTGTCTTTTTCTGCTTGCAAGGTGGTTCTGGTAAATTCTATCCAATCTAGAAGACGATTCCGTTCCCAACTTATATACCGGATATGTCCAATAGCAGCATTCCCAATTGTACCGTTGCTGCGCCTCCTGACGCACGGTCGGGATTCCACCAACACTGCCCCAAGACCAAAAGCAGTAGCGATTACGACTTGTCCGCTGGCTCGGTTCCTGACGATCCATCTGTTTTTGCTTTAATTTTTCTTCTGCCTGTTTTTGAATCCTTGCCACGGCTCCGCTGTGGCTGGAGAGACAAATTAATGATGCTCTTTGCCACAAGCACTGCCGAATTCAGACCATCACCATAATCCCATCCCAGAATATGCTTTATGCTTCTGGTGAATTACAATCACAATCCCTTCCCGGTGAAGCCGTGGGGAGGATAATCGGCTGCCTATGCTCCGAACTCACCGCCTGATCCCATCAGCTGCAGCAGTTGTTGGCTTGATGGACTGATCAACCTTCTACTGTATGTTTAAAGTATGACAAGGCACTATAGTACTATTGGAGACATACAGCCCCCCCAATCCTTCCAACACTTGGAACTCGGAACAAAGTTCTGTCCCCCGTGCCAGTGTCATCCCGTGGATCGGTCCCGGAAAAGGGGGGACACTCCGCAGATTCTTGGTCTCATCACGGCTCCGCCCCCCGGTGGAGGTCCCGGATTGCCTCATCCTCCGCGTTGTGTCCACGCATGTGCGGTGTCGATGATGCAGCCCAGGACGCAACGGACGGCGAGGACTTGCGGGTTTCCACTCTAGGCAGTCGAAATCTAAGTTGGCTGGCAGCGTGCACTACCCACGCACTCCGCTCTAAGCCCCTACGCGAATGATCACCGCACTGCTCGGATATGGGCAGCCGTCTCACCTTGCAGGAGCCATAGCCATACTTTGGCTCCATGCCAAGTTTCAAGCTACTCGATCTCTTGGCTCGTAATACCTTCGCTCTCAGTTGCCAGATATCGTCTCGTGTACAGAGTATACCGGAGAGGCATCTCTCCATCAATTGCACGATCACACCATGAGCCTGCTGAACAAGGCTCAGCGATGCTCTTGAAATGGCACAGTCGGCCATTTTCTTTCCGTACATGCTATTTCTCGTGAAGTTCTCCTTCTTAATTATTCTGCCTTTCTCCTGCAGAATTCATCTGCCTGGCTGCGGAACACTGATCTAGCTGCGCTTTAAGTATTCATGCATAGCCACCCCGGAATCTGTCATGGTCTCCATCTCGAGTGATCCACCCGAATCCGGTGCCGCACCAACCCATCTTACCAATTGCCAACATCACCCTATCCGACCTTCATGAAAGTATCATGTAGCCTAAAAGCAATAATTTCTTCAACATGGGAGTTACAAGGCGTCAGTTGCCACCAGGACGCCTTGCTTATCCTCAACCTCTCAGCAACAATCAGTTACCCCAAGCCTTGGATAGCGTTCTTTCATTCTTTCACCTAACTTTTACAACTAACCCTATCCTACAACCAGGTAATATCCTTAAATCTATTAGCAAAAGACCGCCGTGGCACCTCAGCCCGACTCTCATAAATCTCAAAAGCGCACGGCAAGCCAGAATTAACATGAAGCTGCAAACTAATATTCACCTTCGCAACCTTACCCCAAAAGATATCGAACTCGCCCACTTCGATATAAGCGGGGGCAAACCCTCTGGGAAGTGGGCACGGGTAGGCGCAGCATAGGCCTCGACATTATCCGAGCCGACAACATCTCTACCCAAGAGCTCGGTTCAACCAGTGACATTATCACCCGTGTTTCACAAAACCAGAGGCTATAATTTCGGTTGTGGCACCGATATCTGATCGTCCAATATCAGGTAGATGAAAAGTCTGCCTCTGCAGGCACAGAGAAGGGTCTCGATCTTGCCGTTAACGCCGACGCAGCGACCAAATTTTCGCCTGTCGTGGCGATGCCGCTCGTGCCCACGGCGAACTGGTCCGCGTGCTCGTGTAAGCACTTCGGGACCGCGTAGCAGCCCTCCGATGACACTGGATAAGGCTTCTCCAGTGCTATCCAATATTCTACTAAGACCTGGCGCGGGTGTCCTGTACCTGCCAGCTGAGGGCTCGTGCAAGTCAAACTGGAACATGCCTCCGCCATGCATATGCAAGATAGCCGGCGCCGGCGCTATAAGCGTAGGTTATTCTCGGGTGAGAGGCGATGGATAGCCACTGTCTGACCATCATAAGACGTGAACATGTGAACTCATTATCTCGTGAACTGTTTATCTCACGTCTAAGGTTCAGGGAGCGCCTTGAAGAACTCCGCAAAGTAGGCAGTGTTAGCCTCCCGTCGAGCCTCAATCTCATGCAATGTTGGCTTAGGGGCTACTATTATAGCGGGTAGAATGCCGGCTGCAGCCGTGGTGAAATCCGCGTCGTAACCTAGGAGCACCTTGGGGGAGAGAAAGGAGTATCCGTAAAAGTAGGTGTAATACATACAACCTGAAGTAAGAATAACACAGATGAGATTTACAGGTTAGCTTAAGCCTTCGAGAACTAACAGGTAGGGTACCCGTGTCAACTCGTCTTTGATACGCAGGAGAGAGCTCCGCTTGGAGAGTTCTCGTCGACAGAGTATGGGTAATCTTTGTGAATTGCTTGGTGCTATTTGTTTTTGTCCGGTTGATTCTATATCATGATATACTGGAGTCCATGTACACACATATATAACTTCATGCAATAAGTTGCGTACCCCACGAAGACTACTGTATAGGAAAGAAAATATATCATAGATAGAATATCTGATAGCAACACTCTCGCATTCCTCTCTACTCTCAAGTCTTGGGGATATCTTGTTCATCGAGGTATATAGAACAATCCAAAACCAAAGCAAGTGAACAGAGCCGATCTGAAACTCCGAGATGAGGGGGAAATCGACAGATCACTTGAAACAGAAATGAGTAACACCATCATACACCATCGTTTCACTTGGTATCATATCTTATAAATGTTTTGATGAAAATTGCTCCCGCCTCCGTGTTTTCCCATACCAAAGCCCACAGTGCTCTTCCTGCTCCCGACCCACACACTGTTTGTAAGATAGGAGAGTAATAACTGAAAAAAAAAGCATTGCTGAAAACAGAGAAATCAGAGAACAAAAGCCCGGGCGAAAGACGGCTGGGAGAGACATCGTCATCCACTTTCCCAGCCATCTCTCATGCCCTTTTTTTCCGAATTTTCCCGCCATCTTTAACTGCGTGTTCCGAATGGTATCAAGAAAAACACAAAAAACCGCTGATTGCAAACCTAAAAAAAAAAAAGGGAAATAAAAAAAATGAGGTCTTGGGGTATAGTGCTGCAAATTGACATTGTTTTAACGCGGTGGCCCAATAGGGGCCGGGTATCCAGAAGTAGAATTGGAAGTACTAGGACGACCACTATCAAAAGACGCGCGGGGGTCATGCTTAGGGGTCATGTCCCCCGGCGCGGTACCGAATGGAAATTTTGTGTCAAAGCGCGCTGGCCAGCCATTGCTGCTGCTGTGGCTGTGGGAGCTCCCCAGGACGGGCAGATCATCCTCAGGAAGATTCACGCCCGAATCATTCCACGGGTTGCGGTAGCCACTATCCCGAGATTCCATGGAAACCAGCGAGGCCTTGGAGGCGTTGCTGGAGGCGTGTTTGAAGAACGAGCCGGGAGAGGCGGAGTGGTTCTTGCGGCCGATGAAAGACGAGAACGAGGAGATGCTACCAGGCTTACGGAGTCTTTCGAAGATCGACCCACGCTCACTAGTCTCGTCGGAAAAGTTGGGTCTGGTGGGAGAGTCCGTAACAAGAGGGACGGGTGCATGTTGCAACAGCTTGGAGTCGAAGAACGGAAGAGATTCCTCAAACGAGTCGGATTTAGGACGCGGAATAGCTCCTTTGATGGTATTCGCATCAAGTCCATGCGCCACTAGACGCGATATCAGAAAATCGATGGCATCCTTAAGACCGCCGGCATTGTTCCGCGTGTATCCAAGCACAACACGGTCATCGGGGGGCAGTGTCGGTGAGGCTGAACCAGCTGAGCTAGTTTCGGAGGAAGGGAAGTCAGCACTGAGGTCGACCGTAGTATCAACTTCATATTGCTCCTTCAGCTTGGCGCAAACATCGCTGCGGAACTCGACAGACTTGAAGTACTCGCGAAGCTCGTGAGAGCTTTGGAAAAGGAGCTCATGGCTCTCCGGGACCATTCCAAGCAAAGCATCAACGGCTTGCGGAACTTGGTATTCAGGTCCTGAAATGGTCACCACATCACTGGCAAGTTCGGTGCTGGGGAACTCGATCTTGCAGTTCCACTTCTTTTCAAGCTCATCGATTTCGGTCATGCGAGCGAGGAGTTCACGGTGGTAGAGGCGGTTGATCACAACACGCTCAGAGACATATTCTGCGTCGACCTTTTCGACCATGTCCATGATCTCCTGCTTGACGAGATCCAAGCTCTGTGCGTTACGGGCTGGCGTGCGGCAGATGACATTGTCAACCTTTATGTCGTCGTCCTCCTTGCCCATACCACCGCGATCCATAGCGTTGGAAAACTTGACAAAGACGGAGTATTTCTTCATGATGCGCTGAATATGTTGGCCACCGATGCCAATGATCCGCTTGTGGTATTGATCCGGCACATGGAATGAGATCGAAGCCGGCATTTCCTGCTCGACGAGATCGAGACCGTTCTTCGTAGACTCATACTGATTTCCGCACACATCAATGTAGAAGTTGTACTCGTTAAAGCCATCGAAGATAATTTGCACATTACCTGTTCGTTGTTAGGACCCAAGGTTACAAGGCGCGAACCGATGCAGTACTCACTCTGTCCCATGATCTTGTTGATCTTGCCGTTTTTCTTGCCGCTAACAAACTCTTTGTGCTCGTTTGCTAGTTCGATTTTCACACGCATCTGGTATTGGCTCCGCTGAACGAATGGGATCTGGTTGACGACCATCATAGCAGCCTTCACGGCGTCATCGGAGCCGTTGATGGTGAAGGTTAGGTTGTCAAAACTCACTTCCGCCGCCGAGTTGGTGCAGATATCGGACAGCATAGTACGAACATCCGCGGGTGAGGGAGCGCGGAAGGTCCCCTGAGAAGGATCCGGCATGATAATCCACCACGAGGCACTATAGAATTGACCAGCCTAATCACATCAAATTAGCCAAAAATCCTAGAGGATGAATGCTTTTGAACGTACCAATGCCATGATCTCCCGAACAGTGCGCTCCACGTGCAGCACTTCGGTGCCTTGGATACGGACAAGACCACGTTGGCTACCAAGTTGGGGGAAGAGAACGTAGGAGCCATTCATCTCCATCACCTTTCGAACTTTGTCCAAACGGTCAAGCAAAATGTTGTCAATCTTGTTAGAATTGACAATGACATCCTTAACATAGATCTTGACGCCCATGACAAGTTCCCTCAACTTTTGCTTGGCTCGGGCAATCTGCTCTTGCGTATCACCGGTGATATAGACCTCATCTTCACTGCGACGATGAGCGCCTGGGGGCGTGTATCCAAAGATGCGTGGGAAGGGAGGCGGGAAGTAAATGGCAGTACCCGTGGCGGCCTCGATGAGCTTGATGTTTTTGCGAGTGCGACCACAGACTAATGTGTGCATGGTCAACTCTAGCTTCATAGCGTCCACATGACGTTTAAGCTAGCAACCGGTTAGTCGTCATCATTGCATGATGCCGGTGAAGGGAGCCATTATTAATCTAAATATTCGGAGGTTTTTCTCTTTTCGAGTGCGTGGATAAGGAAACAGAAAACTTACGATCTGATCGATCATGATCAACACCCTAGTCTTGGCATGCTCTGCGCTCTCCATGTCACCGTAAATCGAAACTCGGAAACGTTGGTCCAGCCCATTGTCGGAGGCATAGCCGTAAGAAGACACCACCGCGCTATCGTTATCTCGAAGTTTGGGGCTCAATAGGAAGATGTCCGTTCCGGTGTATGCGGAGAGGGTATCAAGGTGCTCTAATACACTCGGTCGGATTCCTTTCGTGGACCCATCCATGATGAGATGCATATCGACATCAACGGTCGCACAGCGCTATTGATTGGATCTCATTAGTACGTTGGGTCGAGCTTCCAAGTGATAGTCACCAAATTCAGGCCGAACATACCAACAGGATAGGTGTCTCATTCAGGATCCTGGCCCGCATTTTGCGCACGGTCTCGCCTTCCCCGGTGATACATACGTTCGTCACCAAGCCTTG